AAAGCTCCTCACAATCTTGTTGAACCAGGGCGAGGCACTGCTTCATCTGCAAAAGCAGACATGTTAACCTGCCCATTTGGAGTAGGCGCCACCTCTTACCCGCGGGACTGCTCTTCCACGTACTGGGGGGGTCCTCAGCAATGTGACGCTGAAACTTGCCGCGGCTCTGAATGAAGGTCCGCTGCCGGCCCGCAATGTCCTGCGAGCGCAGGACAAGGTGACACGGGCACGGCGTGGCTGTTTTTGTTGGTTGGAACACTCTTCTGGCTGGTTTCTAGCGGAAACCAACATGAAACCAACCAGTGGATGAGTTGAATTTCACTAAAACCCTTGGTTTTAGAGGCAGACCACACGCATACCAAATGTCTTAAGACAAACCGGCATGCCCTTTTTTAGGGTGTGGTTTTCTCTCGTTGCAAAACACTTCTGCTTGGTCTTGGCTAGGCAACCAACCATCATGGCATCATGGCATCATGGTCAAAATGCATCTTCTCAACCCCCGGCACGTCAACACTGTGTTCTTTGCTTGGAATCAACTGGAAGCAGCTTTAAAAAGCAAGGACATGGGCATGATCTCCAATTGGGATCCTAAAGGGTGGACATCATTCAAGGGCGAGACTAATGTCCACCAACCACTTTTGGATAATGATTCCTTACTAAAATCCCTAGCCCCGAACAAGAAAAGAACCCCTTTAAGGACTTAGCACCTCAGGCAAACCCTGCAGCCCCTTTCCTGCACCAGTCCATTGGTCTCGGCACCAGACACCTCGCAGGCGTCTCCGAAGATCGCGTGTTTTCTTGAGGGTACCCTGTTTTATGCTTGGTTGAGGGAACAAAAAGGCAATCACCATTAGAAGAGGAGGAGGTTTACGGTTTAGGGTTTAGGGTGTTCCCAGTGATTTTGACACATAGCCATTTGGGCCCTAAAGCAAAAGGGCCCAAGACAATTTTTGGACCCTGGTGGCTTGGTCAGGTTCGGAGCAACCCTCTGGGGTGGGTGACCTTTGAATGGAACCAAAAGTTGATACCGAAGATTCGGCTACACCTCACCTTGCTTTACAAATAAGCCCCTGAGGAAAGAGGGAGTTGGTGCTGACTGTATGAGCTAGAGTCTTACGATCATTGGCAAAATTGGGCAGTTGCATTACCAGCAATCGCAAAAACAACACGTGGGTAACAGATCCCATTCCTTACAAGGACAATCTCACCCGGCGGAAGACGAACTGAAGTAAGAAGGAGTGCGAGAATCCTGATTTCAGAACCAAGCAATAAACAGCGCCAGCAATCATCATGTTTAAAAGGAAAGACCGTGAGACATGGAAAGACAAGTACTTGCTCATGAACGCGAACCCCCCAAACAAAACTGGAAACTACATATTGACATATGCATTCACTATGATTCGCCGAAAACGTAACAAACAAACGCATTCGGCGCCAAAGAGAGACACACAGAAACCCGACAAACAAGGAGAAACTTGTCAAACCTGAGGAGAAACAGGGAAGAGCCATCAAGCCTTGGGCGGCAAAGATGGGAAATTGAGCAGCCTTGAAAAAAAAACCCTGGAACCACAAACACGCCTTCGAAGGAGGGGGGGATTGGGCCCCTGGTGTTCTTCTGGCAGTCTGAAACCTGTCCAGGACCTGGCGAATGGGTTGAGACCTGGCCTCCTTTGCGTTTTGGGACCATGCCAATCACAGCCATTGGGGCAGGGAGTGGAATGCAAAGGTTTCATGCTCCACCAAACTTACCCCAAAAGGACCCAAAGATTGAACTAACTGTTCAGATTGGCAGATTGGCCCATCTGATTGTTCATAATCCCTGTTGGACGCCACCACAGTGTTAAGGGGCCCTTCCTCCAACAAACGAAGGGGCAGACTCAAACGTGGTTTTTGCTGAGCGCCAAAGCCGAGGTAGCAGCAATCAGGGTTTTGGAAGGTTCAGAATTGCTTTTGCGGAAGCTCCGTCCACCTCCATGAGTGTTAGGTTACGAGGAAAATGGCCATGCTCTTGTGGTGCAGCCTCCCCCCCTTTTCTCCTAATGACGTGGTTTGGGTTGGAAGGTGGCCTGGTGTGTGTTTCAAAAAAAACCTTGCGTCAAGAAGGGAGCTTCGTTTCGGTTGTCTCTTGCTAAACAACCCAAGCGGAGTTCACTACCTTAGGAACAAATCAACCGGTCAAACTACATGTGGGCCTTCCTCGCCACAAACCAGAACATGCCCAGCCACCTCAGTGGAAGGAAAAAGTGGGGTGAGGCTGCGCAACAAGACAACAACACAGTTTTTTCACGTTAAAGCACAACTGTTGTGGGCGAGGTGGGGTTTAAACAATACACCCGTATATAGAAAAATGATTGTATATATATATATATATACATCAATGTATCGATCTATATGGTATGTTGTTGGGTATTGTATTGTTGTATAACACATATCTATATCTGGTGGTTTATATTGTTTTTGGGTGGAATCGGGGGCGCCACCTTGCCTTGGCGGCGTCCACCAAGGCGGAGACCACCGCGTTGGAGGCGTCGAGCAGCGGCCCATTCCGCGTGGACAGCGACCCCAGCACCGCGGTGTCCACGGAGCCGTCGCCGCGGCGCACCGAGTCCATGTTGGTGATGAGAAGCCTCCGGCAGTTCGCTTTCGTTGAATCCAATGGGAACTATAAGGGCCTAAATAGGTGGCAAAATATTCTAATCAAACACATGAGGGGTGGCATTTGTTCCCTTTGAATTTGCATGAGTGGTGGCTTTGATCAAATGGGGATCATAACTATTATAACTGCCTAAGTAGTTGGCGAATATGGTTTTGGGGTGCTTGAGCAAACCCAATCAAACCAATTTGAATGGGTGTGTCGCGAAGGTGGTCCTTTTTGTGATAGGGTTTAAAGAACCAAAAGGAAACCAAGCTCCTGAAGGGGCCCCTAATTTTGAGAAACACCAAAACACAAATTTATGAGGACCTAGAAAGTAGCTAGAATAGGGTTTAGGGGTGTCATGATAGGATTCAAACAAGTTTGAGTGTCACCCCTGAGAAACGAAGAAAACAGAACAAAATCAAACAAAACACATTCTGTTCAACGGTGGATGGACCAAATTATGCAATTGAGATGGATGAAACTTTTGAAGCCCCATATCAACTGGGACATGGCGAACTAAAGGCCCCCCCACCGGCATCAACAAAGGAGCAAATATAAATATATTGAGCTCCAGTACAACTGTTATAGTATTGCCGGAGCTTCCTTTTGCAATTTGGATTTGGTTTTGCAGCTTGGATTTGGGCTTCCATGTTTTAGTGCTGGTGGAGTCGAGTTTCTATTTGATATAGTATTGCTGGGGGTTATTGGTTTTCTTTATCTTTAATGTGGGCTGAGAGGACGGGGTCCTTGTTCCAGATGCATAGGAACCGTGAAGATGGGAATAGCCACCTGCCAACCGGTGTAGGGTTTTGTCCATAGTATGTTCACGGTCCGGGTGTGCTTCCTTTTCCAAGGCACTCTGCGAATGGCTTCCACAGCACCACCACCTCCTGCAAAAGAAGTGTCACCTTCTCGGTGGGCGAGCCCAGAATTCCTTGACCCACGTCTCCACCTGGAATTGCCACGCGAAAATCGGGATCCACGCGCGATGAGTTGTCTATTGCCCCGTGCAAAACATTCAACTGTCTGTTGATCCACTGGGCTTCTGAGTAACCCCACAATGAGATGGAGCATTGTTGTTTTTCCCAGAGCCGATATTGAGCACCAAGTCTTAGCATTTGTTGTACAGATATTTAGAATACTTATCTATTTATGGTTTTTGCCTGCCTGCTGGGACAACTCGACATGTATGGGCTAGTGTGCATCCAGAATAACTCAGCAAACTGAACAAATAATAGCACTACCCCAAACCAGGGGGACATGGGCATAAATGAACAACTGTATGGGGAAAGGCACACATCCAGTTTTTCCTTGACATCTATGTCATCAACTTCACCATGCTCAGGGCCTGGCGACAAATCCAGCTCTGGGTAGATAGCAGGTGCGGAAGACCGGAATCCCTCATATCACATGTCTTAAGCCATACCTGAATCACTTGCAATTAGTCACCGACCTGTGTCTGTTAGGTCCGAACGGATGTCGCCACTACCCAAACCTCTGCCAAGGGATATGGGCCAGGCTGTAAACCCTTTCTGTTAGTGGCTTTGTAGTGGTTTTATACCCCACCAAACACATGGGGGAGTGGTTTGTGGGCAGTGGAAATCATCTTAGATACATAACAATGGAACCCTTAAATCTGCGCCTTGTGGGAAGCCGAAACCAGGGATCATGTCCATGCCTACTGAAGCCTGGTTGTGGAAAATCGCCACACCAGCATGGATTCACTGCGCCAATCGCTACTGTATCACTGAGGACATGCCGCTGATTCGAACCGCATCCGAATCGTCGAGTGTTTCGCTAACTTTCCGTCGCGCCGCCGCCCAGCAACGCGTTCAAGGTGAAGTTGAAGGACTCGATGCCCTGCACCAACTTCGCCTTGTTCTTGGGCACCTCGTCCCCTCGAGCCACCAGCAGGAACTCCTTGAGATACACAAGAAACTTTCTCAACACTCACATGGTGGATGGATCCCCTTTCGGCTGGTAAAACTAAAACCCGATTTTTGAGAACCCCCCCTCCCTATGAGTCAATCAATGGCTTACGGCTATAATTCTAGCTTGCTAATACTTCCAAATAAGGTGCAACATAATTACACATAGTGTACACCTAAATTATATGTAGAACCATGACTAAATTTGCGATTAAGAAATACCGCGCAGACGCGTTCTGAGAATCAAGGGACCTTGTAGCACTCTAGTAAGGTTTGCTTAAAGGGACATTCATCCAAATTCAAGCACGCATCCATGCTTCAGGTGCCCCTATTTTGCGACCAATGCAAATGCAAAGGCCGGCGAAGCAAACACAAGCAGGCGAAGCAAAGGCATATTCTAGAAAATATTGGCCGCTCTGGTTGGCCGGTCAACCAAACCACACCCAATAATTCCAGAACCAAAAACCAAACGAACCAAACACAGCGTAATGTTAAGTCCACCCCCCCAAACAAAAAGGAAGATGTGTTATTCACTAAATTGGGAACCACCCCAATTTAGTAGTACGGCCCAAAGCGGGCTCCGAAAAGGACAACGGGTGCTCTGGCTCAGTCCTTGGTCATCGTCTGGGAGAGGGTTCGCTGCAATCCAGCCCTGTTGATGGTATCGCCCCAATCTGCGAACGCGGATTGAAGGCACCATATCAACAGCAAGGCACTCCGGGCCATACTAAAAGAAAGCTGCTAAGCTCCTTCGTTAGGTATTGAGCAGCTGCGGACGAATCGGCAATGAACAGCAAATGACACATTGATGTCACATGACGTAAGATCCGTTCAAAACCCGCCACCACAAAATAACCTAAAAACTAATCCGCAGGGATGCTAGTCTGGAAATTAAGTTCGGTTTGGACATAATGCCAGGTCAAGCTGATTCCAGCACTGTGAAGGGGGTTGCCGTTGAAATGACACGGGGATTTGCCTAAGAGCTTTCAATAACAGAGAAATTGCACAAGACAAACTGCCTGTTTCTTGACTTGTTGCACGAGTGCTCTCAAAAAGGATTTCTATCTTTGGGGGTTGCAGAAAATGACTTCTGCTGTATACTGCGTTCCGCCCTTCCGCGAACCCATTGGACATCTAAAGCACAAGTTGTACTACACACGACTGACCATGCCATCAGAGGGAACACCATCGGTCCAAAGATGAAACAGAACTCCAGCGACGTGACAGCGCTTCAACTTGGCTGCCGACAGGCGGAGTTGAAGCTGGCTGGAGATAGCTGCCAGTCTGCAGGTGAAAATAGGTAGGTCTTTGTGCGTGTCTGTTTGGCTGTGGGTCAAAAAAACGGGTACCAAAATGGAACCTGGTAAGTGGAAACGGCCTCTGGTTGCGGGTTTCCTATTCACCCTCTACAAGAACCAGGGGCGCAAATCTTCAAACCACCAATCCAAACCACCAGCTAAGGGTTGCCTAACAATACTGGAAGGTATATATGGGTATCCATTTGCCATGCATGGTGCAGGTGTCAGCTTCATGTTTAGCGGGTCCCCCAAGTTGTTGTGGCTTGTTTTTTGAGGCTAGCCTTGTTCGGATTGGTTTAAATAGGGAGACCCACACAACAACACCTTTGCAGTTGAGGGCATTCCATGGAAGCCAAGTAGAAACAACACTCGTTTCACAGCTGCCCTTAACCAGCTTGACCACAGCAGTGTGCCGAGGCCAGGTGCAGCTCAATTCTTGGACAACATGCCGGAACCAGGGCTCCCTATGGCGTCCACTACTCAGCCACATCCATATGGATTAGTTGAGTTGAAGCCGCAGATCCCTCTTTAAACAAAATCGGAAGCTACCCCCTATTGTCCAAATCAAAACACCAAGTCGATGAGGGGAAAGCTGAGCTGGAGTATGAGCAGGCCCACAGAAATCAAACCCGGAGGAAACATGTTGCAACAAAGCACAAAGCGGAAGGATTCAAGAAGAGCTCGGCTCTCCAGCTGTTTCCTCTGGCCACCTCTCCATTTCCCTCTTGCTTTCTCCATCTCCATGTCATGTCATCTCTTGAAGATCGTCGTCTCGCCGCATCGACATTCCATCTCTTTCCCTCTCCTGCTTGGTGTGAGTCCTTGTGATTGCTTCGTCTACTATAGCTTCTTCTGTCTGCGTCTTTCTGCTGTTTCCACTATGTGCTTGCCATTCTGACTGACTCATGCTTGGGAATCGCCAATTGTACATTCGGGTGCTTCAAGAATGGCTGCTTTCTTTCTGGTTTCCACTAAGCCAGCGTCGAAAAGGGCACCCCTCCACAAAAACAAACATGGGCTGCGCCCAAACACCTGGTCTGCTACGGTCCACCAAAGGGTCCAACCAATCGACATTCACACCCACCAACACGCTTTGATGTCGACACTGGATAAACCGACCAGATGCTGGATTCATAGGCGGGTGTTTCCTCCTAAAGTGAAGGCTTCCCTGCGAAATCGGACACCCCCGAATCAAAATCAACCAGGGGTTTCTGAAATCAACTGGGATCCCAGTACAAGACACTTGCTTCTGCCTCACGTCTCCTCGCCTCTTCTCGTCGCTCCAAGTCAAGGCAGCCCAGCTTCAACTGCAGCGGAGGCACATCGAACCTTTCTCCGTCCCGAAACAAGAAAGAGATACGTGCCTCATGTCTAATCTGCAATACTCGTAATATGTTTGCAAACCCTGAAATAATGGATCCAAGAAAAGGACTTACATCATAGTGAGCTCGTTGCAACACTTCGAGCGAGCTGGCCATGAAACAGGCAGTCTAATGGTTGCACCCTGCGACATTTGTCCTCTTGGTTTGGCAACACAGCAAGGATTAATTTGATATTTGACGTGACAGGACAGGACAGACGGGCAGCACAGACAGACAAACAAACCATGATTAGAGTTGGGCCCAGTTTTATAATATATATATATATATATGTATATAAATATAGATATATATATATATACCCTGTGCTTCCTCGACTATTCTTTAAATAGCCTCGACCATTTAAAAAACGAAAGGCTATAAAAGTAATGTCCCTCGACCATTAAAAGTAGGTCTAGACAAACTTGTCCAACTTGAGACGGCTGGCTCCTGACATCCCCACGCGCTTCTGTGCAGTGAGAGGCTGAAGAACTTTATTGCCGCCTTTTATGAAATTAGCTCAGTATGTTTTACAGTCGCTTCATCCCGTTGTAATCACACGCCGTCACCATGCTGTGTCAATATGGCTTGTCCCTCACATGCCCGTGCGTGTTTTTCCACTTCTTGTCCACAGCTCCACAGAGTCTGATCGCGTGTTGTTTGTTGATTGTTTAATCGTTTTCGAAAAATGAGGCGTGGACAAACCATGGACAAACCGTGGAAAGTACGTTTTTTAGCGTGGAAAGTACGTTTTTTAGCGTGGAAAGTACATTTAAAAGCGTGGACAACCATACCCCCAGGAGCCAACAACGCATGTTTGATCGGCAGCGATGCCCCGAAGCCACTAAGATTGCAGCATTTTTCAAAAAAGCCGGACTTCAGTACCAACATGCGAAAAATCTATGCACGCCTCTACAGTAGGCGGGACACCTGGCGATTTTGAAAAGTGATGCGACCATACATTTGGCAAGCCGGGGAATGAGTGGCTTGGGTGCAGTCATTTGCAGCTGGGAGGATGAGGGCGGCGTGACTTTCAGTGACCTGACCCTAAGCAATTCTTGGGCAACAAAAACAATTATTTTTTGGGTATTCAGGGCCAGGCGCAAAAAACGGTCTTTCGGCAAAAAACAGTCTAGCAACCTCGACCATTCTTTTAATGGCCTTTGGAAGCCTAGGGTATATATTATATATGTCTTATTGGTTGCTTCACTTTGAGTCCCCTGGTATGCAAAATGTATCCTTAGCCTAAGTCTCCAGAAACAATTCGGGCGAGCTTTTCTTGGGCGGGGTCGAAACCGGTCCCACGACCAAGGCGCCGGCCTGGTGATCGCCAGATCCTGAGGCGAAGCCTCCGCAATCCTGTGACAT